TCTTTAAAAGATAAAAACGACTTGGTCTTGGCCAATAGTCGTATTTTAAAAAAGCGATGACGTAGTATACTTGAAATAGTGGCTCTGCAGCAGGTATACTCGACATTGAGAAACGGCCAGAAACTCAGGTATCTTCGAATCTACTTACAAATAAATATGCCGGGGAAGTGTAAGTTCAACCGTATTTGATTGGAAAACATTGAATGTTGTGCTTGGTTGAAACCAGTGGAGGGGAACGTGTTTGAAGCCCGCTGCACCTTTTGCAAACAAAATTAGTGTTTGTTTTGCGAATGTAGCGTTAGCTCCTGCAACAAAATCGGGGGGGACCTCCGGGCGACGTGTGGGTCTCCGTCAACCCTAAAAGCGGTAGGTGCTGTGGACGCTAAATACCGTAGCTAGACACCAATCATACAACAGCAACGATGGAAGATTGTAGCCAAGGCAACAGAGCTCTGAATATAGCTCTTGTCACTCTCACACACACACACACACACACACACACAAACACACACACACACAGTTCTGTGTACTGTTATGCTGTTATGTTCAGTCATTGTTCTTATGTTGAACATGAATACATTTACTTTGTAAGTAATTATGGGATGTATTTCTTCTTTCATAGCCATTTTCCTTCATACTTTCTTGTCGTGAAATATGTCTTAAATTCTATTCAAAGTGGTCTTAAAAAGGTCTTAAAAAGTCTTAAATTTGAGTTGGTGAAACCTGCAGGAACCCTGTATTTATAAAAGAGAGAAAGGAAATATGACTAAATAAACAAAAGAAAGGGAGATAAGAAATTCATCACAAAGACAAAAAGCAAGCATGGAAACAAGTCGATGATTCTTAAAAACTCCCACACCATTTTTATTTATTTTTATGAGTTACTGAGTAGCGTATATTTGCAAGGTTTAGATTGAACATGATGTCCCTCCGCCCTTGAGTGTGGGTGGTCAGATCGACATCTCTACATCAACACCTTGAGACAGGCGAATGACAGTGTGGCATTTGTTTGCAGTCAGAAGAAATGTCTTCCCCTCCAACAGTGCTAAACAGATTGTGTTTAAGGTCAGATTTAAAGATTATTGATAAAGTCCCTAATATATGTTTTCCCGGCTAGATCATGTCCAGTTCATGTGGAAAACAGGAATCTCCCCCTCTTATTGATTTGACCCACCAGGGATTCACATCTACATATTACATTGATTGGCTTTAACAAAGGTATAGAGCAGCGGTTCCCAACCTTTTTCAACTCAGGGCCCACTTAAGAATCAATGTTTTTTTCGCGGCCCACATTCAACCATAAACAACACGGAGGCTAGATAAAGTTCTGATTGGTCGATTAAGAACATGTGAACGTTGTTAATCCAGTAGAACAGACCGTTGCTAAGGACTGAAATGACCGTTGCTAAGGACTGTAATGACCGTTGCTAAGGAGGATAAAGAAAGAGAAAGAAAAGGGGTTTAAAAAAATAATCTTAATACTGAAAATGTTTCCACACAAATGATATTGTTTTGCAAATTATTTGGCAGCAAATATTGAATTTACATTTACACCCTTTAATATTTTATTTGGGCTTTTAGATGAAGACCGCACACAGTTAATAAATACAACTATTCCTCTGGCTAAAATACATATTTTTAAAAGTCAATCAAGGAGTAATCTTAATTTAAGGTGTTTGAAGAGTAGATTAAAAATACAATTTATTTTTAAAAAAATTATTGAAATTATTTGGCGGCCCACTTGCAATGCCTTCGCAGACCACTAGGGGCCCACAGGTTGGGAAACACTGTCATAGAGGAATGCTGAATTAACCAGCGTCCGACTGCAGTTTGATTTGTTCACAATACACAATATAGTTAATGCAAACAAACAGCATGTTCACTATAGTTTGTGTATTTCAAAAGCTGATTTTTCTCTATATTTTCAAAGTTATATTTCCAGTACAAAAGGTCAGAGCTTGTCATGATAAAGAAGACAGGAAAAAAGGCTGAGCATCCTTTTCCTGCCGTTTTGATTTTATTTGACCCACTGCAACACCGTGGGGATCTTTCCCATCCCAAACAAACAGTTTATGAGACAGAGCTGAGTGAAGGACGAGAGCTGGGAGTTTCTGTGTGACAGCCATCTGAAAACACTCCTGTCAGTCTCACACACACACACACACACACACACACACACACACACACACACACACACACACACACACACACACACACACACACATGTCACTGTCACTGGCAGACATGGCCTGTCAGCTGGAATCATAACACTGATGCTAATACTAGCGAGCTGCAGCTTTCTGTTGCTAATGAGGTATAGAAGTCCCAGTAATTCGCTTGTCCACGGTGCATTAGTGGGGGCTGCTCTTCTTTGTTTACATCACACACAACCAAAGCACCTGCTCTCAGCTAATCACTCACTGAACACTTTTAAATGGAATGAGAGCCAAAGCCGTTTTGCTCATTCATTATTTAGGAATTGTATACAAGAATGGAAACCTGTAGTTAAATGGTAGTTAATCCCAGCTTGTTAGTTTGAGACCACTTTGTTATACACTGTATCGTGCCGACTGCATAGCATTTGAAAATGAGTGAATTTAATTGTGTGATTAATTAAATTCCTTAAAGCTGCACAAATCAAAGTAATGTTGTCGGTTCAAATTACTTTAAGTAGTGGCAATTTTCAACTTATATTACAGTTGCCTTCAGCTCTATGAAGCATTTTGGTGACTTTTAGATTTTAATTTTTGTTTCTGAATCAGTCTTACAGATTATGTGTTCCTCACAAATTGGTGGGAGAAAAACTGATACAAACCAGTGAATTATGGTTTGTCATGTGGATTTATACATGTAAATAAAATAAATGAATGCTAAGTTGTAATCGAATTGTATCATATCCAAGCATAAATATAAACATTTTGTCATAAGAAAACATCCATGCAAAATGATACAATTAAAAAAACATGACATTTCAACAGATTTATTTGTTATTTAAGTAGAACAGAACAAGTTTAAATTATTTTATTGAACAATCATTTGTTTCATTGAAGAACAAAAACATGAATGTTGAGTTAAATATTACTTATTCAAAAATGAACAAAAAAAGGGGTGTGGTCTCAATAGCCATGCAGTAAGCAGTGTGCTATGTGCATGTGATGGAGGAATGGCATGGATATTCAAGTGTACTTGAATGGCATCTGTTTGTTTTAGTCAGATAGATAATGCTAAAATAACTTTCCCCAACTATATTTAAGTTCCCTATGAAGAGCCAACCTTCAATTTGGAAAATTCCCGTTTATTCCCATGGAAAGTTTCCATCTTTGAAAATTCCCGAAGTTTTTTAACCCTAGTTAGGATTTTATAAACTGACAGTATGCAGGCATTGTTTGTTTTGTTCTGTCCTCTGCCACTTCAACTCTTTCAACTCTTCTTTATCAAACTTGCTGATACTAGCATCATCACATATCTAATCTGAGATCAGAATATGTCAGGAGTGAGCAGTGAACACAAAGTTAACTGGGTGCTCCTGGACTCTGGTATGGGTCAAATGGATTCAACATAAAGAGCAGGATTGCACTCATGTATTATATTTAGAAAAGATTTACAAATAACTCAGAGTTTGTTCCCTCAGACCACCTGTGGGTGTTGTTCCCCGATGTCTTCATGGTCGTCACCTCTGAGGTTGCAGTGGACATCATTAAACACGCGTTCATCACCAAGTTCAACGACATCACAGCCGATGTAAGGACTGAACCTGATCATTATCTCTATAACAGTCTTAATCACTAACCAAGGACTTGTCACACACAGTACATCATTTATCCTAGTACACCATGTGTATATGATATATCATTACCCAGTATGCTTCCATAGTTGCTCTCCTCTCTTCCCAGGTGTACAGTGAATACAGAGCCAGTTTGGCCTTCGACCTCGTCAGCAGTCGGCAGAAGAATGTAAGCAGCCGTCTCATTATTCTTACATAAACAGCAGTGAGCCCACGCAGCTGATAAATGCAGTTTTGTGGAGTGCTGTAACCACCCAGACTGTATATATAAAGGCTGTAACGCTTCTCTCCGTCTCTCTGCAGGCTTGTACAGACTACAGTGACTCAGTGGCCCGTAGGATGGGCTTCATCCCTCTGCCGCTGGCTGTCCTGGTGAGAGAGGAAGCACTCAGACACTTAATACCAGAAGAGAGTGGTCATTTTTACTATGCTTACTCCTTGCGACCACACTACTCTAGCATTTTTCAAAAACTAAGACTTGAAAATACCTTTTTAGTTTGAAATCTCTGGGATTTGGAAACGGATACTTAAAAAAAAACAAAAAAAACACACATAAGGCGCTTTCACACCGGAGTACTTTTCCCTTTTAGTTCCGATAGTTCCTGGGATTTTGCGTTCACACCAAAAAGAGAACTCAGTTTTACCCCCTTTTCAGTCCCTGCTAGAGAGCAGGTACTTTCCTGGGGAGAAAAAAGTTCAAATTTCTGATTGGCTGGTCGAATTGCAAACCACGCTCCACAAAACTCTGAAAAGTTTTGTG